AAAAAAAAAAAAAAAGCTGGGGAACTTGCAAGACGGACGGAAAGGATTCTACTCCGCTTGTTTGTGGAAATTTTCACGAATAATGAGTATTGGGGAACTACTCCAGGAAACTTGGATGACCTCCAATGTTCAAACCTAGAGAATGCCGTCCTTACGTCTTGATTTTGTTAAGGAAAAAAAAACCCTAAAAAAAAGAAAAAAAAAAAGAAAAAAAGAAAAATAAAAAGAGAAATAAAAAAAAGGGGGTCGAGTACTTGAAGTGCAATTCAATTTGAGCATATGCAAGTGTTGTATTGAGTCTTGATGGGAATGGTTTGTATAATGTTGATGTTGGATAAGTGGTGAGGTGTTCGAGTTATTTATGTGCTCGAGGTTTGATTGTTTATTTGAGCCATTCTATCCCTATATTTGTCCTTCCTTTGATGCCTACAATGCAACCTTGAAAGTCCTCTTGATTTGCAGTTCATGATCTTTGGTTGTTTTAGAGTATGAATATATGATAAGCAAGCTTTTGTTGATGCATGATGATCGACCAATTCGAGCGTCCCAGTTCTATAGTCATGAAAGAAACCGAGTGAGGCATATACATATTATACTTCCGTTCTTGAGAGTTTGTCTTTTCAAAGCGTTGCATTCGAGTTGTAATTGAGGTGTGCTATATTGGCCATTGGAATTCTCCTCGGCTAAGTTGATTAATTTGAGACTTGTCTTATCTGAAACTATTATCCATGCTCGATTGCTTGTTTTCGTGTCTTTTCTTTTCTTTTTGTTCGGGACGAACAAAGGTTTTAGTGTGGGGGAGTTGTTTGTCCCATTTTTGTTGTGTTTTTCGTTGTCCTTTTGTCTTTATTTTTCCCCAATATTGAGTCTTTTTGTTGGTATTATTCGTTTTTGTAGTTTATTGCGTGATTTGATCTATTTCGGTTTTTCTTGTGTTTTTCGTGTGTTTTCTGGTTTTTCTTTGTTTTTGGTGTGTAGGTCAGGAGCTTTGGGCAAAGTTTCTCTTCCTTAAAAATTGGTTCCAAGAGCATAATTGAATAGAGGAGCTCGTTAGCGACGCGCAGGAAAAAGCGGAATTGAATTCCGATACCAGACGAGCCCGAACGAGCCCAAACCGTGAAGTCATGCAAAGCTGCCGGGGGGGCCTTAGCGCCGCTAAGGCCTGTGTGGTTAGCGGGGTTTTGGCAGCTAAGCGGGACAGAGGAACCAAGCTAAGAAGGCTTAGCGCCGCTAACCCCTTAGCGGCGCTAAGGCCTGTTTTTCAACTGACGCGTTTTTCTCGCAATTTTGAATGGGGGACGTATTTGATAGAGTTTAGGGCATCATTTCTTCATTCCAGACCTGTTATTTTCGTTTTTTCTTCCCTTAAAACACATCTTTCTCTTAATCTTTCATCTTAGATTGGATTTGGAGAATAAAAACTCATTTTCTAGCATTGGATTCGGTTGTTCGTTGTTTCTTTCGACATTGGATTCACTTTTAATCGTAAGCACTCTTTTTCATTTTGTGTATGAATATGATGGCTTGGGTAATTGATTATTTTGATGTTGAATCGATCATGAGTAGCTAAATCCGTATGCTAGGGATAGAGGATTAATGTTTTGATTTCGATTGCGATTGTGGGATTAGATGATTGTTCGTTTTATGCAAATTGGTCTTTACTAGGGTTTTTCTATAATCATTCTTGAGTTTTGAGAATTGTTGAAGGGTGACACTTCAACTTCCAATGATTTTAATTGAATTCGATTAATTCATGTTTGATATTGGTGAATCTATTTGATTAGTCGGTTAACCACCTTCTAGTCTTATTTTTATCGACTCTTAGAACCGAAAGGGGAAGAGTCGGTCGAAAAAGGTTTGCATAAGCTAGGCTTGTTCGTAACTGTATTGCCTAGGAGTTAAATGACTTGGTAATTGCCGTTCTAGTTTGTTCTCTTGTTACGAAGAGTTATTGAGAATGAGCTCTAGAACGTGTTCGTTATTCAAATCACTTAACTGAATAATCACTTGCCCACTAAGTGCATTTCGAACCGAAACGGATATCCTCGATTCCCTAGCTTCTCAAATCCTTATTGTTCTTCGTTGCCTTGCTACTTTTATTACTTTATTTATTAATTGCAGTAGTTGATAACTAAAACTATCCAATCATCTGAGTTAGTATGTTTAGGTATTTTTCTTTCTTAATTTCCTTTTTGAGTGATTGAATAAACGTGCTTAGTATTCCGGCTGACCTTCCTCGAGAGACACGACCCGGTGTCGAATCATTCGATTTAACCCCAGTAAAAATATTTACAACATGGGTCAAAGTTTAAAGTCAATCGGATAAGTGTACGAGAAATTAGAGCCTTAAAAGTCGAGCCATAGTCACCGGGACAAAGTTCCGAGTCTAGCACTCTGCCCCCCAAAGATTCGCGCCCTCGAAAACATTTTCGCGACCTACGACCATTTCGCGAGCTAAGAGTGGCCTACAGTCTCCAAATTCCACGCCCGCGAATGCAATTCCGCGAGTTAGCTGCAACTCGCGAGGTAGCTACAAGGACAGCCTTCAAATTTCGCGCCCGCGAACGCAATTCCGCGAGTTAGCTGCAACTCATGAGTTAGCTACATGCTGCAGAAGCCAAATTCTGCGCCCGCGAAAATCCTCACCTAGCCCGCGAATCACCTCTACCTCGCGAGTTCTCCTTTGCTAGCAGAAATAGCCCGCGAAAATCAAGATTTAGCTCGCGAGTTCGCCTCAACTCGCGAGTTTTCTCATTTAATGTGTATGTTTTAGTGTGTGTTTGTGGTGTAGCTATAAATAGACATTATGCTTTGTATATTTGGAAAGAATTCCTCATCTTGCTAAATTTTCCCTTTTAGTTTTTTGCTCTCTTCTCTCTCTAGTTTTCTTTCTCTCTCTAAGGGCTCCAAGACCCTATTTTTATTGTAATATTTCTCCATCAAGGTTACAACTTTTTGGCTTATTTCTTCTCGTGGATGCACTAGGGACTTGGATACTTCGTTTAAGGTTCTTGATTTCGTAAGTCTTGCTCGTCTTTACTTATTGAATTTATTCTAAGGTTAAGATATGCACATCCATGAGTCGATTATGCTATCATCCTCATAGGCTAGGGATTATGTGATATTTTTATTGATTGCGTGAGCGAGAATTGATTGAGGGATTAATTGATCACGAGTGATTATTGCTTGGTTGCATGTTCCCGAACCTATGAGGGCCTTCTTTCCATCTCGGGTCTAGGAGTACCTTGTTCTTTTTCTCTTTATTTTCCTTTTTTCTTGCAATTTGAGGTTTTGCTTGCTAGTTAATGTTGAATCTTGCTTTCGTTTAGTTTAAAGTTGCCATCTTTAGCTTAATCGAACCCCAAATTGCGAGTAGAGTGTTTAGGATATTTATTTTCTTTTCTTGTGTTAGTCGATCGTTGCTTGAATCCGTGTCCGAATAGCCTTCCTTTGAGAACGACCCGAGTTCGGGTAACTCGGTTACCAACTACCCAAAAATACTACAAACAAATTGGCGCCGTTGCCGGGGAAGGCGA